CCATCAAACATGCAGGCCCAGTGCGGAGCCAGCCGCAGCGCCTGGCTCCCACCGGACAGAAGCAGCGGTTGGCGTGCGTTCCCCCTGTGAATTCTGAGAGACTGCAGGAAGACCCAGTTCTGTGACCCAGGATGGGCCCCTGTGTGTCAGAGGAGTCCTGTGGTTCTCAGGGACTGGTCACCAGGCCTTCTTTCCGATGTGCCTCTGAGTAGACGGGATTCTCCACCCTTGTTTTAGGCAGCAACTGAGTGCATTACCAGCTCTGCCGCCTTTGGGGATTCCTGATCGAAGGCAACCGAGATGGGGGTGGGAGGGCATAGAATGAGGGGGCTGTTGCCCTTACTGTGGCTCAGAGAGCAGGGGTGGGGGCCGGAGACTGAAGTGCAGGGAGGGAGCCCCCGGAGAAGACCCTTGACCTATGGGGTCATCAGCTCTGATCCCCTTGCTCTAGCAGAGGTTCACTGGTCTGGGCTAGGGGACAGAATCTGAAGGTGGGCTGCCTGGCTGTGGAGGCCCTGTGCCCAAAGGCTCTCCGGTCCCACTCATCCACTGGGCCCCTTGCCCCTTAGCTCTTTCTATCCCCAGGCACATTCTGGGGCATCCTCCTAGAGTGAGAGGCGGGGGGGCGGGGGGGCAAAAAACAACCCTAAGCTCCCCAGTGGGGGGCAGATGGGAAGGAGTGTCTGTCTGGGTTGATCTCCACGCCTCCAGGAGACCCAGGACACCCCTCCCAGGGCCTCTCCCTCGGCTTCCCAGAGCTCTCAGCGGAAGGCGCGTAGCCACCAGGCCTCTGGCTGCACGGTGGGGTGGGGTGGTTCCGTGGCAGGCGCTTCTGGACAGCCAGCCAAGCAGCGAGAGGCCCAGCTGGGGGAGCAGGACCAGGAGGGAGGGAGGAGCGTGGGAGGGGCAGCGGGTGGGATCACAGCCGGTCCCCCTTGGGGCAGGACCCACTGCCAACTCCGCACCCACAGCAGGGCCCCGGAGAGCTGGGTGCTCGAAGACCTGGTCAGCCAGCCAGGGCCGGCCAAGGGGCTCCTTGCAGGCCGGGGCCCCAGCCAGCCTGCCTGGGACACCATCTGCGCATGCTTGCAAGGGTGAGGCCAGAAACCCAAGCCTGCCTTGATTTGCCACCTCGCGGGGGCCTTCTCCGCTCCCGCCCCTCCCAGCCGGGCCTCACGGGGTGGGGGGTAGGGGGGCTGGATGGTCTCCCCTCACCCAGCCGGATGGGATCAGGCCGCCACTGCTTACCCCTCCTGGCCAGGGGACGGCCAAGGTGGGCTCCTCCCTCAGTTGCTGTGGGTTCCTGGCTTTGTGTATTGATTTTGTTCCGCTGAGGTATAGTTTGCTCAGCTGAAAATGGGAACACTCATTCAGGGAGCGGATGTGCTAGAAAGTGCTTAGCACAGGGTCTGCCTGTGAGCTGCCGCCCTCGGAGCTGCAGTTGGACTGGGGCATGCTGGGTCCTTGAGAGCAGAGCGGGGGCTCTGGGGGCCAGGACCTGGGCAGGTGGTGGGCCAGCAAGCTGCAATTCCAGGGCTCTCTGGACAGGAGTGATGTCAGTTACTTCCACCTCGGGGCACTCATGAGGGGGCAGTCACTCATCCATCACCCCCCTTTCGTAGGTAGGAAACACACAGAAAGCTGTACGGGGGGAATTAAAAAAGTTAATGGAAAAACCCCAGTGTCTTTGTGAGGCCCTGGCATCTGACCTGGGAGCACCGCGCTCCTGCTTGCTGCTTGCACGCATACATGCTCAGTGGTTCCCCGAGCCAGGCCCTGCTCCCAACGTCCATCCTTATGCTGACCCACACGGCTTCCAGCTGAGGGGACAGAGGCACGGGTGGGGGTGGGGTGTGTGCACGATCTGCCCAGAGTCACAGCGATCTGCCCAGAGTCACAGCGTTCATGACAGGGATGGAGTTTGGACCCAGCCCCATCAGGGCTGCAGACTCTGCCATTTTAAGGCAAGTTCTCCTGACTCTTGACTACTAACGCGGCTACCGTGACCACAGTCCTTATGGCTGCAGTAATGATTTATTTCTCACCGTCTCTTCTAGACAGAGCTGGCACAAGGTCGGCCCAGGAAGGACTGGACGGATCAGCTCCACTCACTTGAGGTGGGGCATGGCAGCCTCTATTCGCCCCTGATAGAGCCCGGGCTGTGGCTGGCCTCTCCCCTTCCCTGAGGAGGGTTGAAGGCCTGAGGGTGGGAGACACTGCCACCCCAAAGCCTGCCCTTGGCTGGTTTTGTCTGTGAGGTGGTCCATGGGCTTCCTGAGGGCCTACTTCGTGCCTTGTGGGTGAGACGCAGGGCACATGGTTATTGGAGAAGCCATAGCCGGGCTCTGCAGAGAGCCCCTGCAGAGAGAGCATGCGAAGGATTAGGCCAGGCAGGGCTGCATGGCAGGCCTGTGAGCTGGGGGTGGCACACGTGTGGGGCTGGGTCACCGGGGCTGGGGCCAGGGGGAAAGGCTCCCTCGGACTGCTGCCCACAGGCCTGGGGTGGCGGTGAGGCGGTCTGTTTCTCTGTAGCTGTGTGTTCACACAGGCACTTAGGTGGTGAGGCGGCCAGTCGGCTCCTTCATGCCCACAGCATGGCTGCCGTCCTGGGAGTGGCGTGACTCCTTCGCTGCCAGCCTCACCCTCAGCTGGGGGCCGAGCACTTTCACAGGGCCCACACACAGCCCTGCGCGGTCCAAATCAATCAGTCTCCAGCTCACCTACCCCTCTCCCTGCCAGGTTGGTACCAAGGGCCCACTGACTGGGGAGGAGGCAGAGGCACAGAGCTGCCCAGGGGCAGCTGGAAATGGTAGAGGCAGGATTGGAGTTGACCCCGCACCCCTGACCGGCCTAAAGTGTGGATGTGGGCCTCCCAGCCCAGGGCTGGTCTAAACTTCAGAAGGGAGCAAGGACAGAGGGTGGAAGAGGCTCAGGGCTTAAGCTGCCCGGTGCCCCCTGAACCCTCTGCTTCCTCCTTGTATTCACCATTTGTCAATTAAGGGTTCTCATTGTGCCAGGAAAGGACCCTGGTGGTACAGTGGGTTTAGCACCGAGGCTACTAAACCCACCAAGCGCTCCACAGAGGAAAGGTGGGTGTAGTCTTGGACGTCTGGTGAGGCAGTGCCATTCTTTGTCCTGTTGGGTCCCTGTAAGTGGGGTCTTGCTGGCTTTCCGTGGAGAGAGCCCTAGTCCTCTTCCTGGCTGACATATCTCATGCGGATGTCCAGGGACGTTTGCCTGCTGCGGGGATGCTGGATAGATTTCAGGGGAGCTTCCAGACTGAGAGACAGGAAGAAAGGCCTGGCTAATGACAGCCCTATAGGTCCTAATGATCTGAACCATAACAGATGATGGGGCTAGTGCAGGACTAGGTACTATGCCGTTCTGTTGTGTGCAGGGGCCCCCATGAGTTGGGGCGGGGTGGGGGGGCGGTGCTGACTGAACACCAGCTCACACCGGGGTGGTTCTCAAGTGAGTCAGATGGTGAGAGTACTGGGTTCGCTAGCAGAGGCTTAGCTGGGGCACAACTCCTGAAGCAGCTCGTCTTCCCCGCCCTCGATTGAGGCAGAGGCAGCCATGCTGATTGGTCCACCCCCTCCCCACCCCCGTACTGCTTCAGGTGAAAGCCACAGCCCCCTGAGGCCCCACAGCCCTGCCCAGCCAGGCCACCTGTTTCCTCTCTGGTCACTCCTGGCGGGCTCAGCCCTCCCCTGGAACTTTCTCCCCACCCCAGGGCCCTCTTTCAGGGTTGGCTCTGACATCACCAACTCGGGGAATCCCTCCCCCGCTCCCCTCTTTCCACAGGCCTGATCCCCTGTGCCAGGTGTCAGCTTCAGAGAGAGGGGTACCACTTGCCTATTGGGTTTTTTTGTTTGTTTTTTGATAATCATTTTATTGGGGGGCTCTTGCAACTCTTGTTACAATCCATACGTCAATTTTGTCTGACATATCCGTACATATATCCCATCGTTCTTTTCTAGACACTTACTTTCCATTGAGCCCTTGATATCAGCTCCTCTTTTTTCCATCTCCCTTCCCC